AGGGAACAACAGAGTAGAACAGAAGCAAAAAAAAAAAAAAAAGGATTGCGAGTAAAATATATATATATATATATATATGATAAAGATATTTGGAGTAAGAATAAACCAACGGACAGAAAAAGAAATCACCACGAAGCGAAACTAAAAGAAAAATATGACAGCGGAATGAGTTGAGATCCGACAGGCGGCCAAGGTACCCACCGGTGAAGCAAAATTACTAAGTAATTAACCTAACTCTAATAACATGTTACAATATTTAAGAGAGAGAGAAAGATAATATTATATTATGTGTATATTCAACATTGTGTTAAATAATTATGTAACAATGTATACAAGACTCCTTTATATAGAAAGAGAGAAATCTAAGTATAATAATTCTAAATATGGTAATAAATATAATATGATATATTTAATAAAATAGAATATATAATTGCTATATTTACCCTTATTGAGTTGATAGATAATTCATTTCTTCTTTTCACTCTGATTTGTCTTTTATTTATTTATTTTTTCTCTCTTTCACTTTAGAATCCCATGTCCAATCTGCTGTTATATGCCCAAATGGATTAAAACATAATAATAATAATAATAATAATAATAATAATAATAAAATTAAAAATTATGATTTTTTTTTTTAAAATTTATGATCCAAACATAATTTTAAAAAATGAAGTTATCCTCAGGCCTTGTTTGACAAGGTCTCGTTTGACAAGTGACTTTTTTAGTAAAAAATCTAAAAAGTCACCAAAAAAATCAAAAAAACTAACAATCTATACTAAAAAGTTAAAGATTCTATTTTCTCTCTACTTTTTACATATCTTTTTATAAAAAATTAAAAATTCATTCCAAACATAATAATTTTTTTACATCATATATTTAGCCAAAAAATTAAAAAATTACTAAAAAATTGTTTCCAAACGAGGCTTCCATCTCACTTTAAGAAATGCTTGGGATGGTTGGTTGGTGTGCTTTCAATGCGTTTCCCTCTCCACCCCCTTTCATGTTGTTGGTTGTATTTAATGTTTGCCAACAACTTGGCAGGACCTTATGTTACAAGTCACTCGCTCTACCTCCCTCCCTCTCCTGTACGCGGAAAAAAAATTAATGATTGCCAACAATTTGCAACTTTGCTACATACCCCTACTGGGGGTCGACCCTAGTGAGGTGGCAGCCTCCTATTCGTTCAAATTTTTTTTTTACCAATAGGAAGTCTCCATTTATGACCCCCAGTGACCCTCACTGGGAGTCTGAGACATTTTTCAACAATTTGTGAGGACCTTATTTTATTTGGTCACTCACTCTAACCCCATCCTATTATTTCATAGGGTCTGTTATTTTATAAGACCTAGCTTGTCTTATATTTGAGATCAAGATTTGACCGTTTAGTCCGATTTATTGGTTTATTTTTGGATCATGTTTCAATAATTTAAACCGTTGAATGTGTAGTACTCGTTGAGTATTATATCCTTATAAAAAGTCACATTAATCGGATATCGATAACTATTTGATTGGATAATATTTGTATAAAAAAATAGAAGGTGAAAAAATAAACGGTTGACAAAAATCTGATCCGATCAAATAGTTATCGATATCCGATCAACGTGAATTTTTACAAGAATATAATACTTAATGAATTTTACACATTAAACGGTTCGGATTATAGAAATAAACATAAAAAATAAGCCCATAAACCGGATTAGACAATCCAATCTCGATCTCAAATATAAGACAAGTTAGACCCTATTTTATAGTCACTCACTCTAATCCCCTCCAATACGTGGGAAAATTATTTGGATGTATTTAATGTTTGCCAACAATTTGCGAGGACCTTATTTTATATTGTCACTCACTCTAATCCCCGCCTATACGTGGAAAAATTATTTTGAAATTAAAAATTGACATATGTGTAGTGATTGGGAGAGTAATCCTATTGCTAATAGACAAATGAACATTAGAAAACAAAGGCGAGGTTGAAGAGTTGATATTTTTTAAAAAAAGAAAATTTGAGTTTTGAGTTTTATTTTAAAGGAATGTTTACATACAAATTTTAATTTATAAATTTATATTTTATTAAGTCTTAATTAAAAATTTTATTACAAATGAATTTTTGAGTATAAATTTATGATTCTTTAACCTTACTTTGGAATTAAAATCTATTTTTTTAAAAAAATAATTGAAACCAGAGACATGACGTTGACAAGCACTGCTAGATTATAGTTGGGTGGGGGATAGGGACAAGGACAAGATGGATTGAGAAAATCGGGGAGTGAGTGGCCTTATAGTAAGAACATAGGGATTAAGTCCTCAGGTCATGAGTTTAAATCTTCACTGAGCCAATTTCTTGGGTGTAGCACAGTTGGTTAGGACGTTGAAGCTCAAGTTGTCTAACCAGCATTTGGTGTGTGTTCAATGTTCTCCCGCTGTGCGAGTCCTGACTTAAGCGGAGCTTGTCTTGGGAGGTTGGGGCAAGTTCCCAGGTTATAGTCTCCGGGTTCAATGCTCTCCCACTGTACGAGTCCTGACTTATGCGAAACTTGTTTTGGGAGGTCGGGGCAAGTTCTCAGGTTATAGTCTCCTCGCTCGGAACGGCTAACAGGACGTCCTGACTTAAGCGGAGCTTGTCTTGGGAGGTCGGGGCAAGTTCCCAAGTTATAGTCTCTAGGTTCAATGCTCTCCCGCTATGCGAGTCCTGACTTATGCGGAACTTGTTTTGGGAGGTCGGGGCAAGGAGGTCGGGGCAAGTTCCCAAGTTATAGTTTCCTCGCTCGGAATGACTAATAGGACACCTTGGTGATCTCTACAAAGAGGCGCTGTCTTAGACTTGCGGGAGAGTAGGGAGGATTTTTCGGTAACAAAAAAAAAAAGAAAAAAAAAAAGATGGATTGAGAAGAGAAGATCAAGTGCAAACGATGAATATATAGTATTGTTTGAAAAGTTGACTATTTTAATAGGTTAAAAATTTTGTATTTGAAAAAAAAAATTATATTTTTTTGTAATTGAATATAATGTTTATGAAAAAAAAAATAATAATTATGAATTTAACGCGACATTTTATTTTATTAATTATTTTAATAGCCTAAAAAGCCTATTAATGGCCTTTTCCAAACAAGGCAGTATAAATGGAAGTGGTGATAGGGAGGGAGAGAGGGAGCAGTAGTAATAGTAGTGGGTATAGGGATGGAGAGAGTGTCATGCACGAAATCAGCATACTTCGAAACCTCAACTTTTTGAAGTAGCTCCTCCCATCGCTTTCACCAATAGCAATATATTTTAATTTCTTGATTTTAAAGGTGGATAATTACTATTAAATTTATCTATGATCATTGAAGAGTGTGTTACAAGTTTCCAACAACAACAACAATAAAATAATAAATAAATAATCCCAAAATAAAATATTCAATCAAACGAATTAGAGAAGGCAAATGCTAATAACAACATAGGCCCGTCTTTGTTTGCCAAATTTGGTTAGATATAATTGTGAACAATTTTTTTTTTTTGATAGGAAAAGAGAAAATTTTATTAATGAAACACATACACAGTATGATAGAATACATCAATAAATAGGAGTTTGGAGTTAATTCAAGCTTCAACCTCCTAGTTGGTGAGAGATCAACAACCAGAGTAAAGCAAAAAAATCAACAGCAAACTTAATTAGTTAAAAAATTGCTTGTAATTTAAAATTTACAGACTAAATTCATTCTAGATAAGTGTAGTTACACAAGAAAATGTATATTTTAAATTGTTGACAATTTTCTATACCTCACAAACGTGAACTCACATCACACAAATGGAACCTCCTAATCCTCTCCCCTATCCCGCATCAGGAACGACTTCTCTTCCTACCATTATCCTTCATATGTGGATTCTATTTAGCGCTCCCAACAATATTTTGAATAGTTTCTCATTAATTCCGATGTATCGAAAAAAAAAAAAAAAAAAATTTATCTCATAAATATCATAATGAATAGTCTGTGTAAAAAATTATCACTATTAGTTTTAATTTAAACTCATAATTGTTATCCAGTTAAAAAAGATATGGTTAATTTATTTATATTTTTTTGAACAATTCATCGTTATTGCTAGGCTTATTCTGGTCATCATTCAGGGCTTCTCTCTTGCTGGGTTTTCCTATTGAAGCATGCCGTTGGGTCTCCCATATTTGTTTAGTTTCACGTAATACAAGACACACATTCAACAGACACAACCTACTTTATAGCAATCAATAATTTTATTTTTTTTTTTATTTTTTATTTTTTTTTTTTTTTTACTTTAAAAATTGTTTTCAACCCAAAAATGAAAACAATATGAAAAGTATGGGGTGTTTTTAAACTTTTCATTATTGTTTTATTTTCAAAAATACGAAAAAGGACAAAAAAGGACAAAACATAAACACAACCGAACCAGTCCTGTTCCATTATTATTTATTTATTTAAATTTTTATTTTTGCCTTGTACTTTGGCTGATCTATTTATAAATGATTAATCAAAATCTTGCTGAAAGTTGGACGGATAATCATTTTTTTTTAAAAATAAGAATAATATGGGCTGGGCTGTCTAAAGAGAGATGTAAGTTTAATAGTTTCAACAAGGTATATCTGATGTTAATTTGAGAATATATGCATGTCTGTGTATAAATACTTAGTGAGCATAATTTTTTCTTTTGTGAGTGTTACAATATCAAGAGAAAGACATATAATAATGTGACAAAAAAACACGGCCGAGCAAGCCACTCCCACTTGCCACACAAGGCTAAAACACACAATCCAGCCTAAAAAGAAAGAAATCCACTCACAAGCCCGAGAGGCTACACTGAATGAAATCTATTCATAAGGTGCAACAATTAACCATTTATCATGGAATTTAAATTTCACTTAATTTTATTGTTGTTGGATCAAAATCAAATACAAATTCATTGAAACTCTTGATGCCAACTCTTTGGAACAAACACGATCGTTGCAAACTTTCGTGGCGTTCTTGTAAAAATAGGATGAAAACACCGGAATTCAATTTTTCCGTAGTAATCTATGCGAAGTTATTCAATCATCTAATGGCTGCTTGGTTTGTTCTATTGCAGATTGGTGTTGTGAAAAAATCAGCAAACTATTCTCTGAGCAATGTTGAGAAATGGATGGCCCCGAAGAAGGTTTGTTGTTTGTTGTTTGCTTTTGCAACCGAATACCCCCCATTGATCCCTTTGCTTGTCACACATCGTGATTTGTGAGTCCAAAGGTACGACACAAAAAAACTTGTGGTTAGAGTAGTAGCTTTTGTAAATTGGGATGAAAGCCAATTTACACCAAATGAGTTTCATGTGAATTTGTGAGTTATAAGACTAGGGTTGGCCTGATAGATGAAGCGCTCCCGTAGAAGGCTTGATGCTTCAGTTTGAGTCTTACGATTGCAGATGAAGAATTAAAAAATGAAAAAATAATATGAAGGTAATAATAAAAAATCAAAAGTTAAAAAGAAAAAAAACTTGATGAAGGTGACATGAATACATGCATGTATGAATAACTTATGCTGTCCTAATGATGGTTTGAATTTGTATGTCCACTATTCTGTAGGATAATAAAATGTAATTCCAAAGTCATTTAACATCATAATAAATCGGAAAATAAAGAGAATGATTGTTGATCCGTGATAAATTCAATATTGCAGAGCAATGCATACCAAATAATAATAATAAATAAAATAAACAAACAAACAAAAATAATATGTTCTTGTCATAGAATAAATTAAGTTATTGATTTGTCTCAAACATAGGCATAGTGTTTCAAAAATTTGTTAGTGCTATTGAGACATATCAAGTTATGCAGGAAAAATGCGGAGACTTTTTACTCAAGTGACAAAAGCCACAAGTATCTGAGGATCTTGAACATAAATTAATATTTTTGTTGCTTCAATAGAAAGTTGTGTGAATTCACATAACTGGTGAATCTGTTGAGTATTATGCATCAACTATATATCATGCATTGCATTGAATTAGGTATTAAGTCATCACTTGAATCAACACTATCCGAAGAAGGTAGAATTCATTCAAGCTTGACCTATTCAGTTACTAAAGATCCATTTTTTTGGGCAGGGTCAAATACCATTACTTTTCTTCCCATCGAGAGGAGAAGTGTTGCCAGAACCACTTGGTGTAGTACTTATTTTGGTGCCTTGGAACTTCCCTATCTGTGAGTCCAATTATTTACTGGCAGTTTGTTGTGGTGATTTCTGATGCTTCTGAGATGGCTAATGAATTATTATACTGATATGTTACCATCACACTTTGATCAAGAACAAATTCTCATATTTTACTCCATAATTGACAAAAATCGTACAACATTTATTTATCTATACCCTTTTATGATAGGCCTAACTTTGAAATCATTGTTAGAAATATAGAAAGCTTGTTGATGGAAGATCATAATTTAAACTTATTACCTTGTCTTAAGTAGCATAGATGCTTCTAAGAAGGTGTTGTATCATGTCCAACACTTTGTATGTTGTGTCTATCTATTTTTAAAGATTTTCTACACTCAAATACACTCACACTTGGAGAACATACGTTTCTATTACTTAGATACATGTGAAACACATTAGAAAGCTTCAATAAAATAATATGAAATCCAATGATAAAAGACAAACAACATATTTTATACATTTTCTCCTCCTTTAGATTTTAAAAAATAGTATCTTTAAATTAAATATTCATATATATGACATATAATAATTGTTTATCCTTGCATATGCTACATAATAAATATATAGAACTATATACTTTGCATTTCACCCACGTTTTATATCCTTCATTTTTTTTTAAAAATGCTAGCTTTTCTTTGTCATGTCACGTGTTCGTGTCCTTACTTCTTAGACCGTGTCATAGTATCAAAATCAAAGGCTGAAGAGCCAGTCCACACTTGACAAAAATTGTATAACATTTATATAAGCCTAACTCATGGACTGTAGGCCCGACACCCAATTAAGATGTATGCACAATGACTATATTAACAATTTATTATCTGTACATTAAGTCCTCATTTGATTTTATGCAGCACTGGCATTGGATCCAGTGATTGGAGCAATATCTGCCGGAAACACAATTGTCCTAAAACCGTCAGAGCTAGCCCCAGCATGTTCTGCTTTTCTTGCTCGCACCATCCCTCTTTACCTGGACCACACAGCCATCAAAGTCATTGAAGGCGGAACGGACATCGCCGAACAACTGCTGCAGCAGAGATGGGACAAGATATTTTTCACAGGTACTATATTGCCCTTTGTTTGTTAACAGTGTGAATTTTGAGAGTTAATATAGGCGTTGCCTTAATCAATGTTGTTTGTTGTTTTCAGGGAGTCCACGAGTTGGACGGATTGTAATGTCTGAAGCTGCAAAGCATTTAACACCAGTTACTCTAGAGCTGGGCGGAAAATGCCCTGCCATTCTCGACTCCCTCTCTGACCCTTCAGATATCAAGGTTTTGTGACCTATTTGCGCTACACAGATTTACAAGGTTATATTGTTGGCTTGCTTTTATATGTTTTAGGTGTTGGTTTTAAGGTGGCTGCCAAGAGAATAGCTGGAGGGAAGTGGGGGCCGTGCAGTGGACAAGCTTGTATAGCAGTAGATTATGTGCTTGTGGAACACGAGTTTGCATCTATTCTGGTACAAATGATAACTATATTCACTGTTCTAATTGTCATCTAATGTATAGGTAACATGATTTCAGAGTACAATATATTTGTGTGTGCTTGCTTCTTTCTTTTTCTTTTTCTCTTTTTTTTTTTGTTCTTTTTCTTTTCAGATTGAATCCCTGAAGAATACTATCAGTAGATTTTACGGCGGAAGCCTGGAAAACTTGAAGAACCTCTCGAGAATTGTGAACAAGCACCACTTTGATAGACTACGCAACATTCTTAAAGACCCTATCGTTGCAGCCTCCATTGTTTATGGTGGTTCACTAGATGAAAAGAACTTGTAACGCCCTTATATCCACACTTCCAATTGCATATTTTTTTTGGGGGGGGGGGACTTAAATCTGATTTTTTTTTTTTTACAGGATCATCGAGCCAACAATCTTGTTAAATCCTCCGCTGGATGCTGAGATCATGACTGAAGAAATATTCGGCCCATTGCTTCCAATTATCACAGTAAAATAAATTGTACCCCTTATAGTTGTTAAGGTTATCTAAGACGATCATCTGTTTAAACCGTGTTATATTTTCTTTTTTTGTACAGTTGACTAATATTCAACAAAGCATCGAGTTCATAAATTCAAAGCCAAAGCCTCTTGCCTTGTATGCATTCACCAAAAACGAGACATTCAAGAAGCAGATTTTAACAGAAACATCATCAGGGAGCGTGACTTTCAATGACGTCATGCCTCAAGTATTGCCCCCTTTTTCTTGCTTTCATATTGAAAACGAGCAGTGCTAGGTGCAAAGAAAATATATTGTGTGGCTGAGATTTATTTTCAGCATGACCCACATCACGCTCAAGTTGAATTTCAACCATACAACGCATTTTCAGTGCAAATTTAGTGTTCTGACACTGCACCTAGTATTATTGAAAGCTTATTCAGGTTTCTTGATACATTTGCAGTTTTTATGTGACACATTACCATTTGGAGGCGTTGGGCAGAGTGGGTTTGGGAGGTACCATGGGAAGTACTCATTTGACACGTTTAGTCACGAAAAGGCAGTTCTGCATAGAAGCTACTTCCTTGAACTGGAGCCGAGGTATCCGCCATGGAATGACTTCAAGATGGAGTTCATCAGATTGGCTTACAAATTTGATTACTTGGGACTTCTCCTACTCTTGTTGGGCTTCCAGCTGAGAAGAACATTCACATCAAACCACTTGGACTAAAAAGAACAGCAACAGAATATGCAGTTTGTCTCTGTGCCAAACATGTTTTTTGGGTACTAAACTACAAGGCCTGTCTATCCAGGATAATACTGTGGGTCACATGCTTAGATTTCTATCTAAAAATAATATTTGCTAAAAACCATTAGATAGTTTAAATATCACACATATTGCTATACAACAGATTGCCCCTGCCTGGGTGATTGGGGTGTTGATCCGCCTCCTCACCGGTGCCTCCTCACCGGTGGATATATTGTCTGGTAATGTATGCTAATAATCCATGTACTATTTAGTGCATTTGGTTTGAGTTTTCTGGATTAAGTTTTTTGAAAATTGATTTTTTTAGTTTTCGTATTTTTTTGTTTTTAGTGAATATTTTTTAAATTTTAAACATTTTTTTTTACTTTTTTAGATGCACCTTACTTAGATGTATCTAAAAAGTATAAAATTTGTGAAAAAATATTTTAAAAAATTAATAAATACATAAAAATATAAAAAATGTACTGAATTCTTATATTTTTTTTATATTTTTGGTATTTAGTGAATTTTTAAAAGATTTTTTTTTAAAATTTTTTTACTTTTTAAGTGTATTTATGTTAGGTGTGTCTAAAAAGTAAAAAAAAATTACTTAAAATATTTAAAAAATTCAGTAAAAATAAAAAAATATGAAAAATAAGAAGTAAAATTTTCTGAAAATGATTTTTGAAATAGGAGTAACAAGGATCTCATTGTTTTTATTTTGTGTCATTTTGCGAACCTCGGCGTTACATTGGACTCTTCTATTCTCCGTACCTATAGGACAATACCAAAGGATAGTTTCTCTTTGCAAACCAAAGTATAGTTTATTTTGCAAAACATTTTTGTTTTTGTGTGGTACAAAACTGCAATGCCTTGGAATAAAATTTCTCCCATAGGATTGGGCAGTCATGAAATTGAACCTCTTTAATTTTTTAATGCAGTTTAGGATGAAAAGTTCTAAACTAATGAACCCAGTGTATGGGGAATTCTATTTGAACTTAAAATATGTTCAAGTATACCCAATTTAAATTAATAAATTTAATTCTTATTATATCATAATATGAGTTTACTAATAAAGATAATACATATTAAATTCTAAAATAATTTTTTTTTCTTCACATGGTATTCCTTAATCAGTTATTCCTATGTAAATTTCTATATTTTCTTTTCTAAGAGATCAAAGTTATTTCTTCTTCTTCCTCCTCCCTCTAAAATTTCAATCCATCCTACCAAAACTCACAATCATTATCAACATCATTGTTTTGTATTATTTTGAAACCCTAAACCCTAAAAGAAGATTTGAATAAAATCACATAATGGATAAGAGTAATAATTAAAATAGTTTTTTGAAGCAACCCATCAAAAACGAGATAAGTATTCATATAAAAGGGTTTCACAATTTTTATAGAGCACCATCAATTATTTTCTATATCGTTTTTTTGACAAAAATTAAAGAATTCAATAATTAGATTAACAATAATATATTATTGGAGTTCTTATTTATAAGTTTGGTTTTTACTTTTTCACGAGCATTCTCGTGGATAATTTATAATAAGTTTTTTTTTCTATATTAAAAAGTTTTATAGTTCTCATGTAAAAATTTGATTTTTTTTGTATTTATAATGATTATGTGCATATAAGTTTTGTTTTGTTTTTTTTTTTTTTCATTTTGTAAGTTTTTTTTTTTTTTTTTTTTTTGTTCTCTGTATTTGAGAATATTGAAAAGTTTTTGAAATAATTTAGTTTTTTTAGTTTATTTATTACTTATTATTTGGGTTTATTTTGAGGGTAATTTAAAAAAAAAATAATAGGATGTAATAAGAGTAAAATAAAATTTTAAATAATTAAATAAAGTATACTTAAAAATTGATAGTACTTTAATGAATTTTTTTTTTGGAAGTAGAATGCCCCGGTGTATGCCAAGTTAAGATTAATCGAAGGCCCACAGCCTAGCCCAAGGCCGCCTTGGCTTGTCCGTAGACCTAGTTCAAGAACGCAGTAGGCCTTTTTGGGCCAAGTCCGTTGGGTTCGGGTCTAAGGTTTCGGCCTGCAAGTTAGTCCAACTCAAGATTGGCAAAAAGATGCCTGCTACGCTTAACTCAAGAACAGCCGATTAGGCGACGAATCGTCCACGTTGGGCATCGAGAAGAAAGAGTTGACGGAGAAATCACCATCGCCGCCGTTGATACGTATGGGACGTCTATTACGATGAACTCGAAGCATACAACAAACTACTCTCCCAAACCAAAATCAATCCTGAATCTAAATTAGTCCCAATCCGAGGCTCCTTCATAATTGATGCATATAATTCATTGACACCGTTTATACAGATATAAATTGCATTACATATCTTTAATTTTCATGTATTGTTTTGTTGATGATTTTTTCAATGTTTATAGATTGGTTGTTGTTGTTTGTGATGCTTTAATTTTTGGTATGTTTGGAATTAGATTCATAGACTATGCCTTAAATTATCTCAATTTAATTCCTTAGGTTAATTATCTTTGTAGTCCTTAAATTAAAGATAAAATGTGAAAATTATAAATGTATATCATAATATTATATGGGAAATTTTAATATATACACATTTAAAAGGGATACATCGTAAGTACCTCTTAATTATGTCATTTTTTTCTTTAGTTATGACATTATTTTAGTTATAACAATTTTTTAGTTATATCTCATGTCGTATTTTGTTATGACAATTTTTTTTTTTAATTATGACTCAGAAAGTATAAAGTTGGGTTTTGCTTCCCTCTAGTCCCAGATCGGACTGGAGGGTGCTGTTGGGCCCATGGGATTCACTGTAATTCCCAATTTGATAATTCGAACCGTTTAATGTGTAAAATTCGCTGAGTACTACGTAGCTATAAAAAAATCACATTATCAGATATTAAGGGCTAGTTTGGCATGTACTAAATAAGTCAAAAAGTCAAAAAGTCACTATCTTATTTTAGTCACATCATCTTATTTAAATCACATCACCTCTCTAACACATCACATCAAACCCAACCCAAACCCAATCCAAACCCACCAATAAGTCAAAAAGTGTACTTTTTTAGGAGATCCCAAACCAACCCTAATAACTACGTGATCAAATCAATTTTGTATAAAAAAAAATAGACAGTTAAAAAATAAACGGTTGACAGAAAACTGATTCAATGAGATAGCTATCAATATTTGATCAAAGTAATTTTTTACAGGCATATAGTACTCGATGAGTTCTACATATTGAACAATTTAGATTATCAAAACGGGACCTGTGATGGGCTCTCACAAGCCCAATAATACCCTTCAATTCGATCTGGGATTGTAGGGATGCCACTGCCTATAAAGTTATGCTATTTGCTTTCTTTAATTGTAAAATACCCACTCTATATAATATATATAAGAATCCAAATATTTTTTTAAAAAAATTCTCAATCGACCACAATTTAAAAACTACGTGTATAGTATAAGCACTTTATCATTAAAAAAGAATATAATATAATTTTATATTTTTAAGTCATAATTAAAAAAAATATATCATAGTTAAATACAATATAAAACATAATTAGAAATTTCATAAATTTTTTTTTTGATCAGCAAAAGAAAAGGGAACTTTATTAATGAGATAGAAGATAAATACATCAATAAAGGGAAAAAAAAAAAGGGATGAGTGCAACAAGCATCATAACGAACCAAATCAATCCCAACTAAGTTGGTGCCGATAAGATTACCCAATCATATGCAAACACAACAACAAAAGTCGGTGAGAAACCAACCACAATACAAAAAAACCAACCACACCCAAATATAATATAGCCACACCCAATGTAAAATTACAACCCAAAACTAACAACTAGCAACAACCCAAACATAGCAACACCATAAAGCAACAGCCAAAAAGCACTACCCACATAAACCAGTAACAACCCCAGCTTTACATAAATTAGCCGCAACCCCAGTAGAGCAGCAACACCACTGCCACGAACCTCTACACCACCAAGAGCAGCCTCATAACAGCAGCCTCAAAACATCAGCACATACCAGCAGCACACTTACCTTGTAAACAATATCTGCCTCTAAATTGATACAGCTATTGCACCTAAAAACCCCAAATACCTTCGATCCAAGTCAACTTCTCAACCCAATTCTCAACCAGCCAACCACCTTATAAATATAAAGCATATACTGAAATAAACAATGGCTCTGAAACTCAAGCTTTCATAGAGGATTTATTTGGTGTTGCTTTAAACATCCTTCAACCTTAAGCATGAAATCCATGTAGGATTTACTTGTACTCCAAACTGAGGCCTTTTGAAAATAAAAAACAGACCATTTGGTAGTATTGCATAGACCCTCACCCATCTCTTAGCAGATAACCAAAACATACTTACACTAATGCTTAATCAGACTCCACACCTATATGCTCAACCAATCAGATTGCAGTGAACACCTTAGCTGAGCATCAGCAACAGCAGTAGCGAAATTTATTCTCAACAGCAACAGTAGGCACAAAAGCTTGATCGCAACAACAGCCACAAGACAGACAACAACCGAAGCCAGACACCCAACCTACTAGCAGAAACCTCTGCTTGAAGTCAATACACCAGCAACACCCCCATTACACTAAATAGGAAATCTGCCATAAATTTGAAATAATGGCATGCACAGAATAATGCAGATCCTTCAACTTGGACTTTGCCCATAATGCCACTCTAACCTTCACCAACTCCTCCAAATTCCCAAAATGAGGTTGAGCATTATTAAACAAACAAGCATTTCTTAATTCCCAAACCGACCATAACACAGCCATAGGAACAATTCTCCACAACATCTTTACCTTCTTTTTCACCTTAAAACCAGCCCACCAACTAAACAGAGATTGAACTGATTCAAGGATGGCCCAACACAAACCCCACCAATTAATAATCCCAGACCACACTTTCCAAATACTACTACAATGCAGCAGGACATGACTCTGAGTCTCCACCTCTGTCTTGCAAAAAACACAGAGAATGTTTGCATTAGACTTGAACACCCCAACCCTTTGCATAAAAGCAGCAGACTTCATCCTACCTCTCCAAGCTAACCAAGACATGAATTGTACCTTAAGAGGTGCAACATTCTTCTAGATATTCATTACAAATCTGAGATTACACCCTTTATGCGAAACCATCCAATCCCACACCGAGGCTACAGAGAAAACACTAGATGGATTAGCCAGCCAAGTACACTGATCCTCCACATGACTCCTTAAAATAGGTACAACTCGAAGGTACTCATACAAGTCAGCCAGATCTTCCTCTTCCCAAGCAAAAGGCTGTCTTCTAAACATAAGATTCCAATCATCACTCTCATTTTTCCTTTGCACAAAATCAAACACTGAGCCATCTTTATGAACTGATAAGAAAAAAAGTCTAAGGAAAACAAGAGAGAGGCTCTGGTTATTACACCACACATCCACCCAAAATTTTGTCCTAATGCCATTTCCAATCAAAATCTTAAAATTAGAGAGAAAGAACTCCTTCAAAGATGGATTTCGAGCAGCTAACAATAGAATATCCTTCCATAAAACAGAAACCCCCCCTAACTCCACTGACAATGGACTCCACCTACCTCCAAGCTAACCATACTTGCTACATAACACTTTTTTCCATAAGGCCTTATCTTCCACGCCAAATTTTCACCACTATTTGATCAACAAGCACTCATTAAATTCACTAAGCTTCCTCACACCAAGCCCACCTTGACACTTATTTTTACACACCTCCTCCCACTTAACGAGATGCACTTTTCTCTTCACCTCATCACCACCCCACAGAAAAGTAGACTGAATTCTATCCAACTTATTAGCAATGCCCACAGGCATTTTAAATAAAGACAGAAAATACACGGGCAATCCAGATAATACAGACTTGATCAAGGTTAATCTACCTACAAATGATGGGCATCTCCTTTTCCATAGTGCTAGTTTCTTCTTGAATTTGTCAACTACTGGCTGCCACATTCTCTTACACCTGGGATTTGCACCTAGAGGCATACCTAGGTAATTCAAAGGCAATTTCTAGGTTAAACAATTTAGATTTTTGGAAAATGCCTGAACCAATTCATCTTCAACACCAATTCCACATATTTTACTCTTATGGAAATTTATCTTAAGCCCAGATATTATAACTACAATAATATCATAACTAAAAAAATTAATTATAATTAAATAAAAAATAATATAATTAAAATTACATATGATACATTCCTATTAAAACTTACCCATGAAAATAGATTGGTTCACGGTAGATTACAGAATTTTCAATCTATCAAAAATAATTGGGTACACCATTTTTTTCCCAAATCAACCCTGAAGTAGCACACGCCTAGTGGACTAATCGAATCTATTTTAGTGAGTGTTTATTAGTGTTTAGGGTTAGATTTTTTATTCAGAATTTCTGGAGAATTTTTTTTAAAAATTAGGTTTTACTCGGAAAATGAACTAAAAAAGTAAGCAAAAAATAAAAATAAAAAAATGTTTTAAAAAAAATCTACCAAAAAACAGTTATTATTATTATTATTATTAATTAAAAAAGATATTTCACAGTTTATTTAACAAACACTACTCAGCAATTTAAATGTATAATCCAATAAGTACACCAAACAGATTAAAGTCATAATCTATAATCTGTTACACCAAACGGGGCCATTGTCTTCAACGGTACAAGGCTCACTTCATTCTTCGAAAATTCAGTGACTTGGAAGCAGGGGTGAGAGGGAGAGAGAGAAACGAGGATGATGAAGAGGCAGAGTGTTTACCTGAACCTCAGGTAGTCACTGAATTAGCTCCGGTTCAATAAGCTCAGGGCTGTTGTTCAAACAATGATGTATATATATACTAGTACTAGCAGTAGCTACACTATTGGGGTTGGGCAAATGGAGATCCAAAACCAGCCCTCTCTCTCTCTCTCTCTCTCTCCGTTCTTGCATATCAACGGTGGTTGAGAATTTTGAAGAAATTAAAATTTGATGAATAAGTGCTCCAAATTCATCTTCAATCCTTTTATCAAATGTTAATCAAATCAAGGGAGAGCATTTTTTTCATCAAATTGACAATTCATCAAATTTGAATTGGATGAAAATTGAAAACGATGAAGCATTGGAGATGATTCTTTTTCATCTAATTTGATATTTTAAAAAAAAAAGGAAATTTTGGAATAAGTGGAGAATTTTTAAAAAGATTTTGATAAAAATTTGATGAAAGATCAATCTTTTTTGGAGATGGTTGTGGTAAACTTAGCCTCGTCTAGACCATGTTATTTTAATAATTTTTTAATTTTCTTTTATCAAGACATGAGGTAAAAAAGTTATTATTTGATTTGTATTTGAGAAACATGTTTTGAGATAAAAAGTACGAAAATTTGTTTGATTTGGTTTTTTTTCAAAAGATATTTTGAAAAATTATTTTGAGAGAGAGTTTTGAAAAAAACGATTGATTTGATATGTATGAGAGAGAGATTTGTTTGAAAAATTTGTAAACCAAACAAGTTTTGGAAAAAAAATTTGGAAAAATTTATTTGGTTTGATTATTTTTGAAAACTTATTTGTAGAGAATTTTTTCTAAAATTTTTTGAGAAACACAAACCAAACAAGGCCATGTTTGGGATGATATTTTGATTTTTTTATAAAAATATATGCAGAAATTAGAGGGAAAAAAGAATCTGTGACTTTTTGATTTAAATTATAGATTCTTTAATTTTTTAAATAATTTTTTAATTTTTAAATTAAAACTATTACTTCCAGCCCAGTTGTATTATTAGTCCTGTTTTGTTGCAGTTATTGTGTATTTTAATGATTATCACCACGTCCAGCTCTCAGGCTAAGTTTGGGAAGTTCAGGGGAAAAAAAGCCAAAGTTACTCTCTTTACATTTTTGTACGTTTTTTCATAAAAAAATTAAAAAGTAAAGAGGAAAAAAAAACCCAAACGCCCTCTCAGCTTTGCGCTGACATGAATTATATGTTTACATGAATTTAAAGAGTCAACATGCTACGTAATTGTTAAAATATGGCTGCACTGATGTCTCCAATACTAAAATGATAAGACAGAAATGCTAGATTGATATATTGTTGATCCATTACTCACATTTGACTTCATCAAATTACCCTTCTTGGAGATTTTGATGGTAAATTTTCTTTGATATTTTGCTATGGTTTAATGCCAAAATGAGAAGGGATCTTTATACTATAGTACTAGAACCTCAATCCTATGCCCATATTTTCTTATTCCTGCAATGTATACTGAGAGAGGCGTTCTGCAAGTTCATTCAGTTATCTGTTTTGAGAAAACATGTTTCCATCTAACTTGGCAGTCTTAGAATCGCATACTTAATTGCAACGAGGGTTGTGTATTTTTTGTCTGGACATTAGGTATACCCTGCATGCCAAGTGCATATTCAGTGAATTACATGAGCAACCTTTTGTTGTAGTAGAGCTTGACTTTCGAAGTAGTTATTTTCCAAGATGTATTCATTGCTTACATTTTAATGAGTATTTATGAGTGGCATTTTTTCTTTGTAATTGGTTTTTCTTTTTGCTGGGCTGCGAAGTCAAGACTAAATCAACATGGATTGTAGATTTGATCTCAGCAACTTTAGTTTATCACTAAGTTTCAGTGCTTGGGTCAACCTCCCATGCTTGACTCACTATCCTGTTTTTGTTCTTGAGTGGAATTTCACCAAAAAATGTGACTAGATCCAAGAAAAAGGAAGTATTTAAAATGGGTGCCAGACTTTCCTACTTAAAGCAAAATTGAAGGAATTATTCAGCCAATTAGCTATTACAACACTTTTAACTGATCCTATTACAGCAATGTTTATGTTGCCATTAATTGACAGCAGTGATAAAAATACATTTATCTTGCAGTATTTCAGCAGATAAATGTCATGTTCCTAAGTTACCAGAATGCTACAACATGAACTGTTGAAATTTTGCCTTCTTTCTTACAGACTGTCCAAGAGGTCCATATAATTTGAAGCCATATTTTGTTTATCTCCATATCAAGAAGCAGGTGCATATATATCTGGCCGCCAATCTGACTTCTGTGCACTGAGTATCCCTTCCTGGTTTTTGGAGAAGGTTAAATGAACCTCCCAGTGCATGGACTTCAGCAAGTTCTCGACTTCTCCAATTGTCGCCGACTCGTCACGGACAATCAACTTACCACCTGGCCTGACTATTCTATCAACCTCTGCCATGACAGGTCCAATTTTGCACCTGCCAAAGCCAAACGAGGTACATATGGTTATCTTATGGGTTCTAAAGAAAAAAAAAAAAAGGAAACGAAGAGAAGATGAAAATGAAATATCAATGCAATAACCCAACTAGACTACCTCTTTTTCAGCTTTGAAAAAAGGTGATCAGCATGTAGGAGATCGTAGGTTCGGGGGTACGTGCTAAAGGATTCACACCAGTCATGGTATATCCCAAAGAGGCCACGTTCATAGATTATGGGAAGTGTATCTGGAGAGTCTATGTTCACTACATTCATGACCCACACTTTAAGGTCCTTCATTGCCGCAGCAAACCTGTAAGCACCATTGTGATGTATCATATGCAATGACATAGTAAACATGGCTATATATGAAGATTATTTTTACCCTCCATAAACAGCTCTCATGTCCATGATGTTTCTCACATTGGCCCAGCTGATTCCCAATCCACTGAGATACGTCTTGCTCACCACCTGTTTCCAATGTTGGTAGTCTGTCAAGAAATCATCAGGAGCTGGCTTCCCATAAATTCCCATCTGGGATTTGTTTAACCAGTATGGAGGTGTCTGTAGCCGGCTAGGCCAATCCACAGGCCATCGGGACCCTCTCTCAGTCTCTTCCTCTGGCACACGGTGCATGCAGGACTGCAGAGCTACATACCTGAAAATGTCACCGCAGATCGAATTATAGTCAGCACTTCATTAGCAAACTCTGAAAGTAATGTATGAATCATGCTTTGATGTGTAAGGAAACCTACCAGGCAGCATTTGGATCATCATCAGTTTTACACATTGGAGGTTTGTTATGCTTTCTTTGGTCATAACATTCGTTTGAGGATGCTTTGCGGTAGATGGCAACACCGACAGAATTTAGTTTGTCTTTCTTGATGGTAATAAGCTCCCAACAGATTTTTTTTGTTAGTGCAGACATTTCTGATAGAAAACTACATGTCAGTTTGTGGTAAAATTCCAATCCTTGTTCAAAGAAAATAAGCAAAGTTTGGAAATTTACCTTTCCAGATCTCTACATCTTCTTCAAGTGTCTGGTACACAGGTGTGGCTGACCAAGCAAAGTAACCCCCTGGTCGTAGAACACGGTTCAGTTCCAGAAGAAGAGCACCGCCTTCATACAAATCATTCAAATTTTGTTAGGAAAGCGGAAAAAAGAAAGGTTGTTAGATTTTGTTGAGAGTATTGAAACTCTTGAGAATTGGTAAAAACCTTCGACGTGCCAGGGAACCCGACAACGTGCGCAATGGAGAAGATCAAACACCCTGCTCGGAAATGGCAGCCGCTGAGAGCCCATGACAGCAGATATTGCAGGTATTCCTCTTTCAAGGGCAAACTGAACTTGAGCCTCGTGTTCATCTTTGGGTGCAAAAGACATCGTAATAACATCTTTTTCAAAAAGGAAGCCCCCAAAGCTCGCTACCCCACAACCAACATCCAATATGACTCGTGTGTGCTTCCCCCAAGCAATATCAGGTACTGCCTGCATAGATTAACATTGCTGTTCAATGACACTACTACGATACCTGCCTATTGTTTTGCTATGAACTCATGAAAATATAGATAATCTTAGCTATGTGACAAAGCATCTTGTTTCCATCTTCTAAAATTGATGGAATGTTCATGATACCCAATGTATGTGTCCATCACTATATGTGTGTGTGTGTGTTCTACTGCATTTTCTTTTCAATGAGTCAAAACCTAAGAATTTAATATCTTAAAGCAATAGAATCTGAGATATAGATGATCTTTTGGTGTGTGTGTGTGTGTGTGAAGTTGGAATGTCTCAAGATCCAAAGGAGTCGGAAGAGGGAATTTGTATGGACCAGCGGGGGTGGAGAAAAAAAAGTGTGGGCAATGCTAGAAGAACCAAATCAATGTGGGTGCATCTGAATAGGGAAAACCCACCTCTTCAATGAATTCAATATAGTGTATTGCACCATGTATGAACTGTGTGCCACCACCTGGAAAAGTGAGGAACTCACCCGTCACCTTTACCCAATTCTGGTGCCCTTTCACCTCTGCTAGCAAGGTGTGAGGAACATTATGATACCATATCTGTCAATACCCATAAATTCAAGATTAGAGACACTCGTGCAATCAATTAATGATCTAACTGTTCAGGTGAAATCATACCTTGTCTCTGCTTTTAGGCCACTCTATAGGCCTCTTGTAACCCTCCGGGACAGGGACAAGGCAGGTGGGAGGCTCCTCAGGACAATGCCTCTCGCGATGCTCAAAATGCCTTGTAGTACGCAACTTTTTCACTGCTTTCTCATTGTCTAAACAGGGTATGTAGTCTTTACCTGCCGTTGCATTACACAGCTGCCATGTATACCCATAGATGCTCCCATCTTGATCTCCCGGTCCATTGTTCCGTCTCTCTTTTTGGTTCTCAGATTGATCTGCTTGCGTTGACCAGGATTTCTTTGACTCTTTAGACTCTTTCGGTATCCCTGAAGTCTCTCCCCCTAAGAATGAATCGTCTGGATTTGATTGAGTTGCCTTCTCTTCTTTATGTTTGGCGTCTATGTTTGTGTTTGAGTTGCTCTCATGTTGGCTTTTGCTATTTTGAGTTTGATCTTGAGTTTTGGTGGTAGTTGTTTCTTGAGACTTTTGATCATCATTTTTAGTGGAGGATTGTTGGGGTAGTGCTTCATTTTGGGGTAGTGCTTCATCATGTTCTATTTGATCATGGCTTGTTCCCTCTTGCAATAGTTGTTGTGACTGCTCTTTTTGTTGTTGCTGATGTTCTTGCTTTTGCTCGTCTTCTTTTTGCTGTTGATGTTGCACGGTTTGTTGTTGATCTTTATACGATATCTGGTCTTGTAAGCTTCCTTGGTGATCATCACTTGTTTGTTGACTATCCCCACCTACAGAGCTCTTCTGGGTTGATGCGTCGTGTTTGCTTTCTTGTTCTATAACTCTTTCTTCAACTTGTTGGTTCTGTGTCATTGTACTTTCCTCGGACACCTGAGTCTCACGTAGTTTTTGCTTCTCTTGTTCTTCAACCGACTCTTTACCCTGTAACCCTTGTGGGTTCTCTTCAACAACCGAACCACCACTCCTTTCTTGTTCGCTTTCTTGTTTGTTACTTTCTGCAGCATGAATTTCTTGTTCCACTAGTTCTTGTTTATCTTTACTAATGTTACTCTCGGCTTCATTTGCAGTCTCACTCGAACTTTCTGAATTTGCCGAGTTCTGATCTTCCTGAGACTTTTCCTCGACATTGGTGTTCTTGGAATCATCAGATTTGATGGCGTCTTCAGGGAGCTGACCCGGATTGTCTTCAAAAACTGCCGAACTATCCTTGTTGGAGAGTTCAGTTTGACGAGAAGTTTTGGTGGAAGGGTAGTCGCCGGTGGTGGTGGAGGTGGCAGCTCGGGTGGTGGTTTCCGGTGGGATTACAGAGTTTGAGGTCATCATCCACACGCCCAAAACGCATAATGCGATGAAGACAATGGTTGTTACAGTTGAGGTATAAGAAGAGCCCGATGAGCGCTTATTTGAGCGTGCCTTCCCGAAAGCCATGTTTGTTGTGGGGGGGATCAGTGTGAGGGTGGAAGAGAGGGAAAGCTATGCAAAGAAGAATGTAAAATAGGGTAAAAATGAAGTTATATGGAGATGGAGAGTAAGGACGGAGAGGTTTCAGTTACATTTGTGGAGGAAGATGGAAGGTAGAGAGAGAGATTTAAGTTGGAATGTCTCAAGATCCAAAGGAGTCGGAAGAGGGAATTTGTATGGACCAGCATTGAGGATCCCTCCTCTTGCATTGTTTTTGTTTTTTAAAAAATAAGTCTACAAAAACTTTAAAAAGTTACTACAAAAACTTTTGAAAGTTTTTATTTTATTTTGAAGTTTGGCATAAACATGTTCGGTTCTCTTAAAATTTTAATTTAGTTAACAATTAAATTAAATTAAATTTTTTTTACCAATAGTTCTTTAGTCATATGAACTTGTTAGGGAAAATATGATTTCTCACAAGTAAATCAATCAATGGGAATAAAAACTAATGAGGAAAAATTAAATCAAAAACAATACAAGAATTTTTACGTGGTTCTCTCAATGTGAGGTACGTCCACGGGATCGAAATCCGATTCCACTATCAACCAAATAGTTTACAAACGATTACAAACAAGACACGAATGGTCTCACAAACCACCCTTAAGTGAATTTCAAATAATCACAAATAAACAAAAGGAAAGACCTCACCAAATAGATGAACCAAAATCTTCAGAACCAGAGTTGTAAAAGACCCAAAATAACGAACCAAACTATGCTCCAAAGCAGCAACAAACCGAATGGAAATAACTCCACCAATTGCAAATCTTCGGCACTGTTACCGATGCAATGTAGTAGTATGGCAGCCGCACACACTATCACCAATTTAATTCCACCTAATTGGTTTTCCAGTCTCTCTCACCACTAACTCACGAAAACATATATATATATATATATGATTAAATCTTAGATTATGTTCTCAAAATCTTAATTGTTACCAAATTAGATTGGGTCTCCACAAATTAGATATAATATATATAAAATATATTATATCCAAACCAAACCAAATTAAACTTCTTTAACAAAACCAATTAGGCCTCAAACTCCAATAAGGAGATATATCCCAACAATTCTCCCCCTATCGACTTAGGTGGAGACATCAACCATACCCGCTAAAGTTTGACACTTTAAATGTTTGTCCCTCGACAAAGTCTTAGTCAACATATCTGAAATATTATCATCCATGTGAACCTTTTCGAGTTGCACCAGTTTCGAATTTAACACATCACAAATCCAGTGGTATCTCACATCAATGTGTTTCGATCTCGAATGAAAAGTAGAATTTTTACTCAAGTGAATAGCACTTTGACTATCACAATAAAGCACATACTTTTCTTGCTTCAAACCCAACTCTTGTAAAAATTTCTTCAACCATAACTCTTCTTTGCAAGCTTCTGTAATAGCAATAAATTCAGTTTCGGTAGTTGAGAGAGCAATACATTTTTGTAATTTAGATTGCCATGCCACAACTCCCCCTACAAAAGTTATCAAATACCCCGAAGTAGATTCCCTAGAATCAACATCACCGGCCATGTCAGAATCTGTGAACCCATCAAGCATCGACTTACCATCTCCAAAACACAAACATACTTTCGAAGTCCCTCGAAAATACCTTAGAATCCATTTTACCGCTGCCCAATGTTCTTTACCTGAATTAGAGAGAAACCGACTCACCACATCAATGGCGTGAGCAATATCCGGCCTTGTACAAATCATGGCGTACATCAAAGAACCAATTGCTGAAGCATAAGGAATTTTCAACATCTCTTCCTTGTCTTTCTTACTTGTAGGACATTGATTCGAACTAAGTTTGAAGTAACCCGCAAGTGGACAACCAACCGACTTTGCTTTATTCATGTTGAACCTCTCAAAAACTTTCTCAATGTAGCTTTCTTGAGACAACCAAATCAGCCCCTCTTTGCGATCACGAACAATTTTCATACCAAGAATTTGCTTTGCCGGTCCCAAATCTTTCATAGCAAAAGACTTGCTCAACTCCAATTTCAACCTGTTTATCATGGTAGAATCTTGACCCACAATTAACATGTCATCAACATAAAGCAAAAAAATAATAAATTTACCATCCGAAAAATTTTTCACAAACACACAATGGTCCGAAGTGGTTTTAAAAAAACCATTATTCATCATGAAAGAGTCAAATTTTGTGTACCATTGCCGCAGGGCTTGCTTGAGGCCATACAAACTTTTCTTCAATTTGCAAACAAATTTCTCTTTCTCTTTTTCCACAAAGCCTTCCGGCTGCTTTTCTTTAATTTGCAAACAAATTTCTCTTTTCCTTTCTCTACAAAACCTTCTGGTTGCTCCATGTAAATTTTTTCTTCAAGATCACCGTAAAGAAATGCAGTCTTCACATCAAGTTGTTCAACTTCAAGGTTCATACTTGCAGCCATGCCAAGTACAACCCGAATAGAAGACATCTTCACAACCGGTGAAAAAATCTCATCAAAGTCAATACCTTTGTTTTGCCCAAAGCCTTTCACAAAAAGACGTGCTTTGTACCTCAAATTCTTGCCATCATTCTTCAGTTTGAAGACCCACTTATTTTTCAGAATTTTCCTCTCCTTAGGTAACTTCACTAAATCATAAGTTTGGTTTTCAAGCAAAGAATTCATCTCCTCGTTCATGGCCTTTTTCCAATCACCTTTCTTTGCATACTCAATTGCTTCTTGGTAGCTCTCGGGCTCCCCTTGATTAGAAATCAACACAAACTCATTGGGAGGATACTTTCTCGAAAGTTGTCGGTCCCTTATAGATTTTCTTAACTCAAGTTGTGGTGGCGGTTCTTGAGTTGGATGCTCTTCCTTAATTTCTGGTTCAACTTCATTAGGATTAGCATCATCCTCCACATTTTCAATAGGTGGCTGTACATCTCCCCCATTTTCATCATCAACTGAAGATGAAGGAGCTGCATCCATGTCAATGAGATCACTAGTTTTTGGCTCCAGTTGATCACCCTTGCCAAAGTCTTCAATTGTTTGGTCTTTAAGAAACACAACATCACGGCTTCGAATGACTTTCTTGTCTACCGAATCCCAGAATCTATACCTGAATTCATCACGCCCATAGCCAAGAAAAATGCATTATCTTGACTTACTATCAAGCTTGGACCTCTCATCCTTTAAAATGTGAACAAAAGCTCGGCAACCAAACACTCTCAAGTGCTCATAAGACACATCTTTGCCAGTCCAAACTCTTTCTAAACATCACCATTCAAAGGGTAGGAAGGAGACAAATTGATCACATCAACCACTGTCTTCATTGCCTCACCCCAAAAAGATCTTGGCAATTTAGCTTGTGAAAGCAAACACCTTGTTCTTTCCACAATGGTGCGGTTCATTCTCTCGGCAACGCCATTTTGTTGAGGAGTCTCCTTAACTGTCTTTTGGTGCCGAATACCTTGGCTGCGACAATACTCATCAAATGGCCCAATGTATTCACCACCATTGTCTGATCGGATGCACTTCAATTTCTGCCATGTTTCTCTTTCAACCATGGCTTGAAAATGCTTAAATACTTCTAGAACTTGATCTTTAGCTTTTAGTAAAAAAGCCCAAACTTTCCTTGAATAATCATCAATGAAAGTAACAAAATAAAGTGCACCACTATGTGTTCTAACTTTCAAAGGACCACAAACGTCCGAATGAATCAACTCCAAAACATTTTCTTTTCTAGAAGTAATATTTTTCTGAAAAGAAACTCTATGTTGCTTACCTGCCAAACAATGAACACAAGTTTTAAGATGTGTACCTTTCAAACCGGGTAGAAGCTCTTTTTTGAACAAAACTTGTAGCCCCTTTTCACTCATATGGCCAAGCCGCTTGTGCCACAATTCGGTAGAAGTATCATCTTGAAGTGCATTGACAACACCTTTACAAATTTTTCCATGCATCAAATAAAGTGTATGAGTCTTCTTGCACTTAGCCACCACCAAAGAACCCTTTGTGAGCTTCCATATTCTATCACCAAATTTGTTGTTGAAGTCTTCATCATCTAACTTCCCAGTAGAGATCAAATTGAGGCGAATGTCGGGAACATGCCTCACATCTTTAAGCAACAACTTGCAGCCCAAATTTGTTTCTAAGCAAACATCACCCATGCCAATAATCTTGAACAAACCTTCATTACCCATTCGAACAAAACCATAATCTCATTCGGTGTAGGTAGTGAAGAAATCAACTCGAGAAGTCACATGAAAAGAAGCACCAGAATCAATCACCTAATTACTCTCTTGGCCCACAAAATCGATACAATCATCTTCACAAACGACTATAAGATCATCGGTAGTAACTGCCGTTGTGTCTTCTTGCTTCTTGTCCACACTTTTGTCACGCATTTTCTCCTTATTCTTGAGCTTTCGGCATTCTCGTTTCATGTGCCCTTTCTCATGGCAATAATGGCACTCAATGTCTTTCTTTGAAAAAGAACCATCTTTTGATTTGTCACGACTTTGACCACGACCATGAGGAGTCTTACTCCTCCCCCTTGTTTTGCTTCAGCCTCTCACAACAAATGCTTCTGAATAAGAGAAACCCGCTGATTTTCTTCTAGTTTCTTCATTCAACAGGCTACTAGTGACTTGGCCCATTGTGACAACTCCATCGGGCACCGAATTACTAACGGTCACAACCAAAGTCTCCCAACTTTCGGGCAAAGAACTACGTAGCATCAAAGCCTGCAACTCATCATCAAAAATAATTTTCATAGATGCAAGTTGGTTAACAATACTCTTTATTTCATTCAAATGTCCTGGAATGGGGCTGCCATCTTTATATTTTAAATTAACTAACTTACGAAACAGAAAGGCTTTATTTGTGGCTGATTTTCTGTCATAAAGACTCTCTAATTTTTTCCATAAATCATATGCCGAAGTTTCAGTAGCAACATGATGAAACACACTGTCATTAATCCATTGACGGATAACACCAACGGCTTTTCGATTAAGCCTCTTGCACTCATCATCTTTCATACCCTCGGGTTTGCCAGAATCACCTTCAATGGGTCCATATAAATCTTTACAAAATAATAGGTCTTCCATTTTAATTTTTCAAGTTACCCAATTGCTTCCATTGAAGCTAGACATACGACCCACATTC